ACACATACATAAATCGTTTATAGATTGGATTTTGTAGGTTTTCTTTTGTGATAGAGATTGTTGTGTGTATGTATGTTCATTAGAAATTAGTGGAGTAAACAGTGAAATGAGAGAGAAATAGTCAGAGAGAGAGAGAGAGAGAGAGAGAGAGAGAGAGAGTACGGTGGGGGGTGAGGGTGGTGTGGATTTTTTTTTTCTTTTTGAAATTAAAATAGCATTAAAATACTTATAGAAAAAGGAAAAAAGAAATTAAAATGGCATATATGTCATTTTAAGTTTTTTTGGACCAAAAACCTAGAAAAACCTTGATTTTGGATCTTCCATGCAAGTTGAAAACTTTTTGGATCCTATCCAAAGTTTTTTGAATACTACAGGAACCAAATTTGTAGTTTTATCTTGTTATTTTGTAAATTATGATTTTGAACCCTTATTATATTTTAAACTTACATTTTGGTCTATTACATAATTTTTTTTATTTGTTTTTGTTTTTATTATTTTTCATATTTAAACATATGAATTAGTGTGGTGTTGTACAAAACAAGACATACTACTTTCAAACCATATTTTCATATGCCCATCTATATACAATTGTTTGGATGGAAACTTTATTTTGATAATTTTGTGGTCATTTGATATTACATATTCGTCATTATTCTATATGTAGCCCATTGACATTTAGAAATGACATTCTATGTATGAATTGCTATGGAGTTTTCTGCCACCATATGCAAGATGACTTATACTAGTATCATTAATCACCAAAACCACCAGGAATTTCGCAAGCAATTAGTTGTGAGATTCCAATAAATAAATAATAAATAAATAAATAAAAACAGAAAACAAAAAATCCGAAAACGTACTCCACGGCTCCACCTCTAAAAAAAACTCTTAAAAGTCCATATTTAAATTTCAAAATTGCTCTTATAATTTTTCCAAAATTTAGGATCCTTTTAATAATATATTTTACAAAGTCCTTTTTGGTAGTGAATAAAATTCTCACTTCACAACTTGACACTGATTTTATCGGCGGTTATTTTTGTAATTAACCAATTGCTACCTCATATAAGTATTATTTATCTGAATGCCGACATAATTTATATTAAATAAACGGCTCCAGTAATAGTAAAGCAATTTCTGTTAATAGTATTTATGTTTAAATCAAATAATAAACTTTTAATATAAATCTTTATAAGTTGATTACAAAAAATGTGTTTTATTGGTACAGAAATTAATCAAAAGTATAGTATTCTACTGAAAGAAACTGATGACCATTAAAAAAATATACAAATAAATAGAAATGTACATTGCTTGTGATTGGTGTTCTTTATGTTCATTTATGACATATATTTATTAGCAGGGACCCTCATGTGGTAGTCAAATCTCACTATCTTCTAAAAACAAAACACAGAAAAAAGAATTGTTCATATTCTATGTTCTTGTTTTTAGCATAAAGTGGCAAATTGACTGAATAATTTTCGGATTAATTAAAGTCATTGTATGATATTGTTAGTTGTTTGTCATATATAATGAATAATGCCAAGTGACTCGATGTTACTATAGAACATGTAAAAAAGTTTCCGTAACAAGAAATAGGTTAAAAATATTGGCATAATATGTTGGATTTTTTTTGTTGAACTTTTAATTAGTCTTTTTTAGTTCCGTTAAGAGTAGATAATTTTTTTTTAATTAACTATTACAGTTAATAATAAAATTGTAGCCATTTTTTTGTAGATTATTATCACTCTATATAGTATCATAATTCTCTTTGATCAAAGTTGTCTTGATTTATTGTTTGTGGATGACATGCACCAATTCATTTGGGCTACGGGTGGCAACACGCTTTCGTCGGGGTTTAGGGTAGAGCACCTATCAAAAAATTTTGGTTACAATTTATCAAAGTTTCGTGATTTTCGTTGTTTTCTTCATTCGTTCGAACCTAATTCGTTTTGTTGTTGCTATATGTTCGTTTTGGTTATTGCAGGTATTTGTTTGTTTTGGTATTGCTTGTATTTGCCTGTATTTACTAATGATATTCGTTTGTTTTGGTTACTTTCAATATGGCTTGTACGGATAACTCTATGCAAACCAAGAAAAATATCAATTGACTTCAAACAGATGAACAATACATGAAGAACACCAATGGGCTCAATTAGAAGGGCCAAATTCCAACAAACAATATGATTCAAAATATTAACCTAAATATCTAAACACTAGCATTTCAGAAGTGAAGCCAAATTGGGATTTTCTATCAAGAGGTCATGAGACCTACATATGGATTTGATAAATAGAAGATCACTCAAGATTTATACAGAACAAAGAATAGCAAGTATATACCCTTAGATAATATATTGAGATCCAAGAATGAAGAAAACCATATCAATATTTTTCGATCAAAAAATTAGGAGTTCAAATAAAAATAATCAATCAAGGAAATTGATATGTGAACCAAAAAAGAGATCGATGTTGATATAGAATCGTGCATGCTTAAATAGAAACTTTAATGTTTCAAGAACATAGTAAATTATATTAGGGTTTTAGTAAACATGATTGAAGAAAACAACTTAGAACCTGTAAATATGAACAAATGAGAGAACATAGTGAACAATAACGATTGAATCATAAAAAAATCAAGAAATATTGCGTATAACTCGATTGTATGAAACTAAATCTCTTTGAAACCCTAAAGCATACAACTCTAGATCAATGTACAGTCTTCTTCTATATTTCTTATAATCAGATCTGATTACGAATTACCTATCTGATTATGAACAAGACTTGCTAACAAAATAGTAATAATCATATTTATTATTTATGACAAAGCAACATATAATTCTCAATATTTTTTTTGTTTGTATATTATTAACGATTTGATATTAGTGTACAAAACTAGTTGATGTATTGTTTATTATCTTGTCTGAAAAGAAACACCTACTACTTAAACCCAATCAATGAACCTTAAAAACAAACAAAACATATTTTTCTTGAACATCAAACAAAACTTATCAGTTACACTAAGTATTACATGTAACACAAACTAACGAATCTAGATATGTTTTACAAAATAAACTCAATCCAATGTTGAGATTATATTAGAAAAACATTCTCAATAATAGTCCAAGAGAATCATGCAGAATAATGGATTAACACGCAAATACTTACCAAACAATGTCTTTGTTATATAGCTTCCAAGGATGAAATCTTAAGTTACCCGAACGTAAAATATTTTTTTTTGGACAGAAAGCCCCAACTTATGCTATTTTGGCAACAATCATATTATGGGGGGTTTCTCCATTTTTTAACAAAAAACTCCTACACAACAAAATGTGTATGATAACTTTCAAAAAATACACATCGTGAGCTATTTAGCTCAGATGACAAAGTGTTTTGTGGATCCATCAAAACAACTGAACATCTTTTCAACTATAAATTTTTTACCCCTTCTCTAATGGATATTTGAGTAGATGGGACAATTTTTTCCTATTAAGTTAAATATCTTAATAAAAATACTCTTACACAACAAAATGCGTATGCAAACTTTCCAAAAAAAAAATATACATTGTGAACTATTCAATTCAGAAGAGAAAGTGTTTTGTGGATTCATCAATATAACCCAACATCTTTTCACGTATAATTTTTTTTTACCTCTTCTATAATGCAAAGTTGAGTAGATGAAATAACTTGTTAGTAGCCTACATACCACACTCTTGTATATATCTTAGTTATCCTTTGTTAGTCCATGTTCATATCTTGTATTTGGCCCATATGTAGATGTATATATATGCATTGTACCTCTCTTGAAAGATCAATGAGAATGATACTCATTTACATGGTATCAGAGCTCTTCTTAATCTCCTCCTAACAATCCTTACTTCCTTAATCTATGTCCTTGATTCTTTCTTGTTTCCTTCTCGCTTCTAACCCTATCGCCGCCTGTCTCCATGGGTGACCAAGCCAACTCCTCTACTAAGCCTCCTAACAAGGTTTATGGTGTAACTAGTATCGAAACCTTTGTGCCAATCTTTCTCGATCTTGAGCGACTGAATTATGACACCTGGAGGGAGATGTTCAAGACCCACTGCATCGCTTTTGATGCGTTTAATCACATTAATGACTCTGATCCTAAAGTGTGTTAGGATTGATTATAAACACAAATGATACTCCGAAACTGTTAAGAACACAAGATCTAAATATAATCTGGTTGGATCGTATTCAAGTCTGAAATAAGTACAAGAGTTCGAGAGTACAAAAGATAGAATGACGCTCAAAAGTTTTTACTCTACTCTAATACCTATCCTATTTATAGGATACAAAACAGACTTACAAAAAATTACAAGGACTAAGCATCTAAGCTTCGAATACAACATTGCATTGTAAAATAGATAGAGAGTCGAAATCATCTGGATTTCGACTCCGTACAGACTCAGACCAATTTGACTCCTCACTATTAAAGTTCCGACCCCTACAATTTCCCCCTTAGTGAGAGAAGTCGAAATTATGCGATCAGCTTTAGAGTTTATAGAAGTACATTCCGAATAAGGAGATTTGTATATTGTGAGTTCATATACATCTCAAGATCACTTGAAATAAAAACTTAGTCATTCGCTTATTCCTATTATTTCCTCGAAATACAACACCAAGAGGTTGATGAATTATCTCACAATCTTCAAAATCATTGATGTTAAGCTCTCCTCTTAGCAATGATTGAGGGGCTTTTGAAGGCTTTTTGATAGTTGTTGCCAGATCAATATCAGTGATTGCCAAGTAATCATACTAGTTTCCTATGAGAACTTTGATATGAGGAAACCTAATGATGAAATCATCCTTGTTGTTCTCTGTTATCTTCAATACATCCACATTACTCAAAATCTTTACGATCGTGATCAAGTCATTTAAGTTTATTAATAGAAAATCTGCTATTGTGAACTCAAAAGCAACATTATTTTCTCTTAAGACAACGTAACCGAAGTTTTGTAATAGACCTTCAAACAACATGTGGTTGATCAAAAATCAAGTTGATTGAATTCAAAATTTTCAATGTTGTAGTTCTTTATTGGCACCTTTTGAAAGTAATCATTCAATCCAATCGAAACAATATCTTTAGTTGTTTCATAACACCACTGCTTGTTGTGATCACCCTTGTTCAAGCTAGATGAATCATTTTCTCTTCGCCTCCAAATGTTGTTGATCTGATTTTGTTTCTCAATTTCAAGAGCTTGTTGCTTTTTCTTCTCTTCTTCTAATAGAAAAATAGAAATAGCTTTTCCTTTATTAATTGAGTCATCATTCGAAGTTGACTTGTTAGTAATCGAACTTGAACTCGAACCTCTAGCTCCTGCGTTTATTGAAATTCCTTTTGTTAAATCTCTTGTTGTTGTTGTTGTTGTTGTTGTTGTGGAAGTTGTTCTTAAAGGCATGGGAAGTGAAATAGAAATTTGAGTCGAACTTACTTTCCCAACTACAACTCCTTTCTCCGAATCTTTTGAAGAACCAACTCCTCTAATTCCTTTCTCTCCCCCTTCTGACACTTGAACTGCATGTGGAACATTAGTTGGTAAATGAAGAACCAACTCAAGGATTGGAGCAAGCTCGGATTTGATATTGGACTCAACATTTGAAATCAATTGATAAAGAGACTCTTGAAGTACTGTCGATTGATTCGGAAGATCAATCTTGGAAATAGACTCCTTGATACTTGACAAAAATTCTTCCATATTCTCAAATACCTGAGTATCCTTTTTTGACTTGGGTTCAAGCTTATTCATATAATCATAATTAAACACAACCAATTTAGTGATAACAGTCATAATAACATCGACTTTTCCATGCAACAAGGTCTAGTTTTGCTCCATTTTTTTAACTTCGTTCGACAACTCGAATTTCAGTTCAACAATTTTGAGATCCAGAGACTCCTTCATTGTAGTCACTTGTTCGAAAAAATTTTCATAACGTTCCTTTGCAATGTCATGAAGCTTATGAATCTTATGAATCATATAGTCATAGCTCTTAGAATGAAAGGCTAACATTTCTTCTTGTTTCTACTCAATACCCTCAATCAAGTTTCGAAAGTAATTTTCTTGAGGTTTCATGGCTAGTAACAAAGTTATTTCCTACTATATCAGCTTGTATCTGAAGAAGAGAATTGATTTTCGAGTTAAGGATCTTGGACTTTTTACCTAACATGATTAAGTTATCAGGAACATTCTCCTCTTCGGGGATCAAACTGAAGATCAATAAATGATACCATGATATCATCATCATCAGGTTCTTCATCATGAATCATTTTCTCATCCTTATTTGATTGAGATGAAAAATGAGTTATAGTAGGTTCATGAACGACAGTAGAATATGTTGGTGATATGGTCAAAACTGGAACTAACATTTCAAATTGGTGGTAAAGTTGTTGAAGTTTCGACAGTGGAAGTTTTGATTGAAGATGAGTTGATGGTGGAAGTTTCAATGGTAGAAGTGACAGATGATTCATTTTTATGCATCCCTTCATCGATGTTGACATGTGTGCCCTTATCAGATAAGTTCACAATGATGTATGGAGTTCGAACCTCCTCCATATTGGAAAAGGTATACGAAACCCTGGATGGTATGGAGAACATCTATTGAGGGATGGATGTTGGTGGTTGATCACTCGAATTGATGTTTGTATCCATGTTAGATACATTTACGTTGATATCAAGATCCCATGTCGCCTTAAAATTCAACTTGAGAGGAGAATCTGTAACGACCAAAAATTTCAACATAATTTAAACTTTTCAAAACAATCCATTTTAATAACATTATTTCAAAAAGGTTTTCAATACGTTAATTATCAGAGTATTCCTAGGTCCATTTCATAAAACATAAACGCGAGGAACGGTACGATCACGCCTTTGCCTTGCCACAGTTTCTTGAAGAACCTGAAAAACATTAAACCAGAACTGTAAGCCTGAATGCTTAGTGAGATACCCCCAAAATACCAACCACATATATGCCCTTCCAGGCTATGACCTTCCGATCCAAAACATATTGCCTTTCGGCCCATAACATATAAAAAGCATACATAACATAACAGAACATAGAACAATCATGCATATCGGGTTTACTGTGTGACTGGTTCGCCGTATCGGGCCTTCAGTCCACCGGATCCACCCTCCGAGTCTAGTCATGTCCTTCGAGTCTACAGTGTGGTTGGTCCGCCCGCACCGGGCCTTCAACCCACATGGTCCACTCTTTGAGTCTACAGTATGACTGGTCCGCCCGCATCAGGCCTTCAGTCGGCCTGGTCCACCCTCCGAGCCTCGGCACGTCTGGTCCGCCCTCGTGGGGCCTACAACCTATCCGGACCGCTCGCTGGGCCTTCAGATCAACCGGTCCGCACTGGGTATCTTGGCCTACAGCACAAAGCAGGACCCGCCTCAACCCATCTCCATTCCAAACAACCATGTGCACATAACATACAATCACATAACATATCATTACCCTAACCAGGTTACTGACCTAACCGGTCACTAGCATAGCATCACTCTACATATCGGGAAACCGACCTTAACGAGGTCTCTAGCATATACCATCCTAGCTACCAGGATGCAGACATATCAAGCAATAACATAATAACCATATCCAAATCTTAATCCAATAAAGGGCCGGCCTTGGTGCCTTAGACCCTGTCGATATAGTGAGGGTAACTCACCTCGCGAATGCCGATACTCTGAACGGAAGAAGCCGACTCTCGAACCACCAACTCACCGCAAATCCCGAACTAACCAACATAACAAGCATAAGCATTAGGTCAACATACTTCCACTTATCGGGCCAAGACCAAAGTCCCAATCTCACACAAAGTCCAACATTGGCCTAATTTACCAAATTAGGCCCACCTCACCAAATGAGCCTAGATCCAATATCCATAATATTAATTGGGCCGAAAATACTCTATTCATAATTTCCAGACTTGGCCAAAACACCAACAACCTACAAATGGCCCAACACAAAAGCCCAAAAGAAAGTCCACAGGAGGAGTACGCTGGGCGTACCCTCCCTGGTACGCTGGGCGTACAACAATGATCACCAAAAGAAAATGGGGCATTGGCCCGCTACGCGGGGCGTACTCGAAGGTTACACAGGGCGTAACTGCGAGATCCATTAAGCCTCTCTAACCTCTAAATGGCTTAAGCTCTTAAGCCCAAATTTCAGATCCAAAGGTTAAATATGATTAGAATTCATAGTGTCTCAGACTTTATCACTTGGGACGTCCTTTAGCTCTTAATCCATTAAGACCTATATAACTCATACATGGAACAACTACAGCCCTTGGGACCTCATTTTTATCACTCAAGACCTCTCCAAAGGTCTGAAAGGACAGATATTCTTGGCCAAATCGAACTATGCAACAAGATGAGGACTTTTGGGACAAGAATGATAACAAAGCTTCAAAATACATAGATCTATGCAATATGAAGGTCAAGCAAGAAGCTTTATACCTCAAACAAGCTCCAAAGGGTGGTATTTCCTCAGATCCACAAGTTCCACACATTCTTCTTCTTCTTTGACAACTTCCCTTTTCTCCTTCAAGCCTTTCTTTTGCCAACAATAGCTTTCCAAGGTCAAACACACCCAAATATGAGAGGATACGAGATCTAGGATTTTTCTGAGGTTGAAGACGAGCATAAGGGGATGAGGGGTGAACCAACATGTTCCTTATATAGTGGCTGACCCTAAAAATAGGGTTTGGGATTTCTGAGAGTATGTTAGGCGTACCTCCCTGGTACGCTGGGCGTACTCACCCGACTACCCGCAACCATTCGTCCCATTACGCTGGGCGTACGTCCAGCTTACGCTGGGCGTACCCAGCCACCTTCCAAAACTTACATGCATGCCATGCATGCATGAGATCCTTTTTTCCACTTATACCACAAAGAGCTATAAATAATGATCAACTTCGAGGCACCGCAACTCCTCTAATCTAAACCCACTCTCAAATTACTTTACATTCAAAACTTCTAACACATACACCCGCCCAAAACCTTCTCGGATGAAACTCATTTCTCGAAAGGGACCAGAATTACATTTCTCTTAATTCTCAGGGACTCATAATTAAACACTTGAAGAACGGGGTGTTACAATTCTCCCCCACTTAAATTAGGCTTCATCCTCGAAGCCTGCGACAACTCTATTCCGAAACTATCCCTGCAATGCTCAGCCTGGCACTCACCAGACTAGGCTATCCAAGAACCGACCATTGAAATCTGAAACCCAAATTTACCTTTCTTTCAGATAGGATGAAACAAGCTTCAGCCCTAGAGCAACTCCCACGAGTTCTCTATCGCAATCTCACAATCGCACCAAACTGGCTCTAGTGTCCTCGGGTTAAGAAAACCCCAATACACTGCTGACACTTCCAAACACCCTTCTGGATGCATTTTTACCACATAAACAAATCTATCTGAAATTCTGAAATTCCATCCATGCATTCCTGCCGAGCCCCAGCAACTATCCTACCCGGATGTGCTCCATACCACTGCCGAAATCTCGCTGCTCAATGACCATAATTGGACCACTCCCAACATAACCCTGCGCTGCTACTTCCACTTCCGTGAATTTACATTCCCTTAGCATGACCGCTAACCAAGAGACATACATGTCCTGAACCTACTCGCAAGGACTCTCGAGTCCATGCACCACCTCCACTACTCACAATCAATACACGGGGTCAGACCTTCTAATGCTAACACATCACAACACACCCAACCCATTTCCTCGAACCGATCCGATAATACCTACAGAGTCTTCAGTATGACTGGGCCACCTCACCAGGTCTTCAGTCAATCTGGACCACTCTGAAAACCTTCAGCCAATCTGGGCCGCCCTCCAGGGCCTTCAGTCTGGCTGGACCGTCCCCCGAGCCTTCGGTCTGACTGGTACGCCTTATGGCCTGTAGTCTATCCGAACCGCTCAACTAGCATTCATCATTCCGAGTTATCTTTCCGGGAAATCCTCCTCTGCATACTGTTCTAGCCCTCTAGGGGTTCCGAACTCTATCTCCATCATACATACTCGATCCCAGCCTAATCCCAGGCCCAACACAATCAATGCCATAGGTCTGTATCCTGCCCCGCACGCCTGCTACTCACCCATACCAGCCTGCTCTCGGCTGAAAGAAATACCGCCAAAACCCAAGCAGCTAAACAACCTCTCAAGTCTATCGATCATCCGGAGAATTTCCAATTCTCCCCCACTTAAGACACTGACTATCAACCACCGGTCGCTATCACCGACCTCCCAAAAATAACCTTGAACAAAACCCAACACTTACACGCAGACTGATTCCCACTAGCACTAGCAACCTTCGCAAAAATACATTCCCACACTGATCAATCCGCTCAAAAGTACTAAATCCTCAGCTAACCACTTCTCAGACTGCAGATGCTACCCGACATTCAACCAACGCCATATCTCCACTAATGACCCTCACGAATGATAACCAACGATAGCACGAAACACCAAACTATAACCATACAAAACCTTCAAGGAACGACTGATACCAAAACAAAAACCCGAAACACTAACCCATAACCATGTCGAACCCTCAAGGAACAACGAATACCGAAATGAAAGCCACCCAACGAGACTAGCAGATAAACGATACTCCACAATAATCATAAATAAACAAGACAACAAGAAAGAAACATACCCGCAGCTGCATCCGGCACTGCTCTAACCTCCTCCGCTGCAAGCTGAAAAGCACGACCCTAAGCCCTTGGGGGCTCCGCTCCACTCTGACCTCCACCCGCGATCCTCAACGTGGCTGGTGCTGGAGCCTGCACCGATCTTGCAGCAAGTTGTGGACAGTTGACCCTCAAATGTCCAACCTGATGACAATGATAACATATCCTCAAATCCCGAACCGACACTGACTACCGACAATCCCTCGCATAGTGCCCCTCCTTTCCGCACTTGCGGGATGCACCACCGGACCGAAAAACTCCGGCGTGACCCCTCCCAAACTTACCACAAACGTGGCTGACCTGATCTCCCATCCTGGAATCAACGGTCTTAGACCGTTTCGTCACCGGCTGCGACTGAACCGGAGCTTGCCTCAGCTCACGCAACTGCAACTCAATCTCTAACTCACGCCGCCTGGCGTCCTCCTGCAACTCCAACAAGGTCTCGCACCTCTGTGCGGAACTCCTGAGCCAACCTCTCCCTCTCGACCTGCAGAACATAACGAGTGCTGAACATCTCTCTAAACTGATCCCATGAAATTGCAGCCATCTGCGCATCCGAGTATGACCCCGTGGTCAATCTCCACCAATCCTTTACCCTGAGCCTTAACAGGTTCAGAGGACACCTCACCCTCTGATCAGCAGGGCATGAACACGTGAAGAAACACCCCTCCACATCTGATAACCATCTCATAGCAACGATCGGATCCTGAACTCCATCAAAGGTGGGAGGCTTCATATTATCGAAGTCCCGATACTGAAAACCTCTACTAGCTCCTCCCCCTACCGCTGCTACAGCCGATGTAGCCGCCGCGGCATCCATCTCCGTGAGAGTCGCATAGCGCTCATCAAAATACTCCACCATGGCGGTCTTGATCGACCCAAACAGTTCCGGCAGCTCGGCCCGGAACAATGCAGCAACCTCATCATGCAGGAACTCAAGAATCCTCGCATCCAACTCGTGCGTACTCATCTAACCGATAACCTCGGACGGTACTGACCCGTCCGCAACTCCTTCTCCTGCACCCGATCCTGACCCGGATCCACTCCCAGCATGCCTCGAAATCTCCATACTGAAAATAAACCATAAAACCTCAAACTTTTCCCACTATCGCGGGAACCAACTCTCAACCCAACCCTAGAGGTCATGGTTTCCCTGATACGCGTATGGGTCCTGTGCTTTTAGTAGTACGGGCCCATACTACCTTCCACACCTACCCATATTTGTATGAAGCACTACCACAACACCCTAGCGACAAATATACATAGCAAGCGCTCGATCCTCACTCCTAGAGGAACACTGGAAATCTCAACAGAGGAAAACCCTAGGCTAGTAGGCATCATAAAACAGGCAACATTATCATGAAATCCTGAAGATCCCTAGCCTAACACTAGCATGCTGTTCTATCAAAGCTCAATACAACAAATGTCATGAATGGTAATATGGGGTTACTTACTGGCTCCGGCTGATCGTACCTCCACTTCCTCCTTTTACTTAATTTGAAAACCATTTTAATTTCTCTTTTTAAAACCCTCCTCGATTTGAGACTGGAGTCACACGAGTGTTCCTCCAATTCACTCAAACCAAGGCTCTAATACCAACTTGTAACGACCAAAAATTTCAACATAATTTAAACTTTTCAAAACAATCCATTTTAATAACATTATTACAAAAGGTTTTCAATACATTAATTATCAGAGTATTCCCAGGTCCATTTCATAAAACATAAACATGAGGAACGGTACGATCACGCCTTTGCCTTTCCACAGTTTCCTGAAGAACCTGAAGAACATTAAACCACAACTGTAAGCCCGAAAGCTTAGTGATATACCCCCAAAATACCAACCACATACACGCCCTTCCAAGCTACGACCTTGCGGTCCAAAACATATTGCATTTCGGCCCATAACATATAAAAAGCATACATAACATAATAGAACATAGAACAATCATGCATATCGGGTTTACTGTGTGACTGGTCCGCCGTATCGGGCCTTCAATCCACCGGATCCACCCTCCGAGTCTATTCATGTCCTTCGAGTCTACAGTGTGGTTGGTCTGCCCACACCGGGCCTTCAACCCACCTGGTCCACTCTCTGAGTCTACAGTATGACTGGTCCGCCCGCATCGGGGCTTCAGTCGGCCTAGTCCACTCTCCGAGCATCGACACGTCTGGTCCGCCCTCGTGGGGCCTACAGCCTATCCGGACCGCTCGCTGGGTATCTTGGCCTACAGCACAAAGCACAAAGCACAAAGCGGGACCAATCAAGCAGATCACATAACATATCAAGCACAAAGCACAAAGCAGGATTGTCCGCCCTGGGTATCTTGGCGTACAGCACAAAGCAGGACCCGCCTCAACCCATCTCCATTCTAAACGACCATGTGCACATAACATACAATGATATAACAGTCATAGTCAACAAACCAATCAAGCAGATCACATAACATATCATTACCCTAACCAGGTTACCGACCTAGCCGGTCACTAGCATAGCATCACTCTACATATCGGGAAACCGACCTTAACCAGGTCTCTAGCATATACCATCCTAGCTACCAGGATGCAGACATATCAAGCAATAACATAATAACCATATCTGAATCTTAATCCAATAAAGGGCCGGCCATGGTGCCTTAGACCCTGTCAATATAGTGAGGGTAACTCACTTCGCGAATGCCGATACTCTGAACGGAAGAAGCCGACTCTCGAACCACCAACTCACCGCAAATCCCGAACTAACCAACATAACAAGCATAAGCATTAGGTCAACATACTTCCACTTATCGGGCCAAGACCAAAGTCCCAATCTCATATAGTCCAACATTGGCCTAATTTACCAAATTGGGCCCACCTCACCAAATGGGCCTAGATCCAATATCCATAATATTAATTGGGCTGAAAATACTCTATTCATAATTTCCAGACTTGGCCTAAACACCAAAAACCCACAAATGGCCCAACACAAAAGCCCAAAAGAAAGTCCACAGGAGGAGTACGCTGGGCGTACCCTCCCTGGTACGCTGGGCGTACAACAATGATCACCGAAAGAAAATGGGGCATTGGCCCGCTACGCGGGGCATACTCGAAGGTTACATGGGGCGTAACTGCGAGATCCATTAAGCCTCTCTAACCTCTTAATGTCTTAAGCTCTTAAGCCCAAATTTCAGATCCAAAGGTCAAATATGAGTAGAATTCATAGTGTCTCAGACTTTATCACTTAGGACGTCCTTAAGCTCTTAATCCAAGGTCTTAATCCATTAAGACCTATATAACTCATACATGGAACAACTACAGCCCTTGGGACCTCATTTTTATCACTCAAGACCTCTCCAAAGGTCTGAAAGGATAGATATTCTTGGCCAAATCGAACTATGCAACAAGATGAGGACTTTTGGGACAAGAATGATAACAAAGCTTCAAAATACATAGATCTATGCAATATGAAGGTCAAGCAAGAAGCTTTATACCTTAAACAAGCTCCAAAGGGTGGTATTTCTTCAGATCCACAAGTTCCACACGCTCTTCTTCTTCTTTGACAACTTCCCTTTTCTCTTTCAAGCCTTTCTTTTGCCAACAATAGCTTTCCAAGGTCAAACACACCCAAATATGAGAGGATACGAGATCTAGGGTTTTTCTGAGGTTGAAGACGAGCATAAGGGGCTGAGGGGTGAACCAACATGTTCCTTATATAGTGACTGACCCTAAAAATAGGGTTTCGGGTTTCTGAGAGTATGTTGGGAGTACCTCCCTGGTACGCTGGGCGTACTCACCCGGCTACCCGCAACCATTCGTCCCATTATGCTGGGCGTACGTCCAACTTACGTTGGGTGTACCCAGCCACCTTCCAAAACTTACATGCATGCCATGCATGCATGGGATCCTTTTTTCCACTTATACCACAAAGAGCTATAAACAATGATCAACTTTGAGGCACCGCAACTCCTCTAATCTAAACCCACTCTCAAATAACTTTACATTCAAATGAGGGTGACGAGAAGTCCTAAACTTCTAACACATACACCCACCCGAAACCTTCTTGGATGAAACTCATTTCTCGAAAGGGACCAGAATTACCTTTCTCTTAATTCTCAGGGACTCATAATTAAACACTTGAAGAACGGGGTGTTACAGAATCCCTTCAAGGTGATCCAATAAAAGAGTGTCCTATGGAAATATTTGACCTTCTACTACACTGCCATGACTAGTTTTGACCGTCACGTTATTAATTGGAACTAGATTCTTACATTTCTTCTTTTGTAACTTGTGATCCATATCAAGTTCTTGATGCTTCTTCGATGCTGGTGACACAAGAAAAGATACTTCACGAAACAAAACACCTTTCCTATGAAATTGAGGTTTTCGAATCTTTTTTATACCCTTCTGAGAAGAAATGGTATTTGAAGAATCAACATGCATTAGCTCAACACTTTCGATTTTAGGTTCTTGTAAAGGTTGCTTGATTGGTGAATCAATGGGATTCTTCACTGGTTTCTTCGTTCGTTTGTGAATTCCCGATTTTGATGGGATGATTTCGTTCATAACTTCCTCCTTCACCACTTGGTGGTTTTTCAACTTGCTTCTTTTTCTTTGGAGCATTGGAAACTTTAGAAGATCCTTCTACCCCCTTTTTTTGGAAAACCCCAGTTGGTGTAGAAGAGTCAATCGAAGCCAAGTATTGCATAAAAATATGAATTTTTGGATCAACAAGCTTGAGCATTGCATCAGGAATGCGAGCAACAGTTGGAAAAACAGTTGGATCATCAACAAAAAATTGTTGAGACTGAAGGGTTTGAGCACTATAACAACCTTAAGGTGCACATACAACCCTAATTCTTTGTATCTACGTTTTATCTAGTTATACATACAAAATTGTTTTCCAAAGCATGAAGCCTAAACTAGCATACAAAATTTGATAATTGAATCATAAGACTAGTTAGATTGTTTACCTCTTGTTGTAGCTTGTTATCTTTGCCTTTAAGAACTTATGACCTAAAATGTGGTGCCTCTAATAAGTCACAAATACCACCAACAATTAGATGACTTGAGTGTCACAACTGGCATTTTAGCTAGGAAATTCTATTCCTGTGTAACTGTTTACCTACTGAAAAACATATACTCTACATAAATCTCACTAAATGCTTAGTTAGATTCATCAATTATGTTCAACAAAGAGTCTAAAAACCCTAAGAATCCCGATTTGAGTCCATATTGGACTAGAATTTCCTTATTGGTCCTAATGGACCAATAAGCACCCAATTCAACTTTATTGGACTTATAAGCCCTAATTGGATCCTAATTGGACCCAATTCATAAATCTAAAACATTTTGGACCAATTGGGTCTAGAATGATTCATTCTAACCCTAATGGGTCTTATTGGGCCACAACTAATCCAATTAATATTAGTGAGCCATAAGCCCATTCTTTTATTCTAATTAGGCCTTGAATGCTTCCAAGGGCCCAATGGACCAAAAAGTCTTATGTCTAGGATCCAAAGATCCTAACTAAAGTTAATGGGCCCAACTACTCCACCCTTTCTCCTAGCTCAACATATTCGGCCCATGAGTTAAAAAAAAGGAAATGAAGGTTGACTTTGGAGGTGCCACCTCCATATTATACACCCAATAACAAGATAATTGCATCTCATACTTCCATGCAAGCTTGTATGATCCAACATGCATCAAGATTTCTCTCTCTCCCCTCTTCTTGATATTTCGGCTGAGAGCCAAAACACACACACACACTTGAAAAACTCTCTCCAAACTTCTCTAAAAATTATCCTCTTCCTTCCTCCAAGATCTCAAAATTTTGCTAGGATTCTAAGGATCTTCATCAAGTCATTCAAATCTTTGGTAAGTTATTGTCAAACACAAGTATCTCCTTTCATCTTATCATGAAAAACTCTTTCTTACATGGTTCTCATCCCATGATCACACCTTAGAAGCTTCATGAACTTGAGATCCACAACAAAGGTGTGCTAAGACCAAAAATTCTTTCCACTTCTTCTTCAAAAACCGAAACATCAAGCAAAGGTGAGTTCATACCCCCTTGTTTTCGGTTTTCATATGATTTTTGGGGGAGAATACAAGAAAAATGTGTAGATCTATGTCTTATATGCATGTTTTGTGTGAATTCTTAGTTTATTTGGTAAAATGTGTTAGATCTTAGCAAATCTTGAAATTTTAAGTATTATTTAGCAAAGATCTATGAACTATGATATTTTATACATCACATTATCAAGCCAAAAGTAATCACATGTTTAAGATACAAAACATTTCAACAAAAGCCTAGTTAAAGGTCAAAATTGTCAAGAACACAAAAGATAAGGGCAAAAAGTGTAATTTATGTTTCCATAAGTGCAAAACAGGCCCTACATGTATAAAAAGGTTTTTTTTATGTTAAACATACTTTAAAAAGGGCCAAAAATGCAAATTAAAGCTTAATGGACCAAAACTTTTGGGCCTTACGATTTTGGGCCCAATTTGCGAGAAAATAAAGTTTTGGGGTTAAAATGTTATTTGTCCAAAGTTTGAGTATTGAATGTAAATAAAACAATTTAAAAGTGAAAATAACATTTATTTTCAAATTGGACCAAAAATGTAAAATTTTCCAAAATTGGGCCGAAAGTGTAAATTTTTACAAACAAGGGGCTGAAAATGCACTTTTCTGCAAAACAGGGTTCTAAATGTGAAAATATAACTTTTTGGGCTATAATCGTAAAATTTAGACTTTTAGGACGAAATTGCAAATTTTTATAAATTATGGACTAAAGTGTCATTTTTACAAACTTTGGGCCTTAATTAAATATTGGAAGATTATTGGCCAAAAACGTCGTTTTTACGGAAGAGGATTTTTATTATCAATCTAATAAACCTCGAGCTAAAACAAACAACGAAGTAAAACAAACGAACGAAACACGTCGATAACTATTTATTGGGCCTAATATTCACGTTACTTGGCCATTGGGCCCTAAGGGCTCAATTAAGTGTATATTGAGCCCAATGTTTTCCATGACATGTTTATTGGGCCTTGTGACCCACTTACATGTTAATTTGGGCCTAAGTTATGGATTACATGTTTATTGAGCTTTTGTGGCCCATTTACATGCCTATTGGGCTTAAATTACCCTCTTACACGTTATTGGGCCTTTGTGGTCTAATTACATGTTAATTGGGCTTGGAATCGAATTCATATGCTAGTGGATCATAACTATACTGTTGCATAATCATTGAACTTAGTATACTTATATATGTACTTTTCGAATACCAAAACATATCACATGTACGTAAACATTAAACATAGTACAAAAAGGGTTGAGGATCTAGTGAGACATATCGGTTGGCACCTCTGAGTGTACAATCATAGCCTGTAGCTATAATCAGAGTTTCCTGGTAGGAAAGTGGGAGTTTGTGTATAGATCTATACGGGGTGACCCCCCCACGCGTTAGCTGTTCGCTACTGCTAGACTAGACCAGTCTAGGGCGACAAAATCCTTAGCAAGACTGGCATTTGAAAAAATACCAAGACGGGAGACCTAGTCATTATCATGTGTGGTTATAACGGCTCATATCGGGATTCAATACCAAAAGTTTAACCTTTTGAAGATAAACTCTTCGATTGTGTCAATGCAAAAACGACTTATCTAACAATACAAGAATCTATACGTTGTTATAAAACAGAAAATATCGGATTTTGTTGAGAAATTATCCATATACATTTATCAGTTACTCACAATACAATGAATTTAAACTACTCTCATACAAGTTACAACTATAAAATTCACACATTCATTTATACTTGATTTTCACATCATTTTCAGTCAATTTTAACAGAAAATATCGAATTTTCTTGGTTTTTACGAAAGATACAAAGGCTTTTATTCAACCATACTTATGAACTCACCAACATTATATACGTTGATCATTTTCAAGATAACTTGTATTCTCAGGTAATCGTTAAGCAGGAAGGATTTGCAAGTGTGTATGGTTTCGTTTTGTGTAACAGCACTTATCGTACTTTTAACAAATTGAACTTATGTATTTTAACAATGTACTTGATGTGAACAATGTTGGTTGTATTATGTAATGTTGGTGATGAATGTGTTATGTTTCATGTATATTCATTGTGATGATTATTCAATTGTTAGTCACACGAGCCCCTGGACATTTCCATCGTCTGGTTCGAGGGTGTGACAATGAGAGAGAGGTTCCATTGCACTAAAATCGGCTCTATGAACTCTAAAAACACAAGGGGTAACCAATTTTAGGCCATGGGGACACACACACACACACACACACACACACATATATATATATATATATATATATATATATATATATATATATATAGTGTAGGAATCCATGAGTCATGTGTAAACCTTAATCCATACATTTGGATTATGATCCATATCTCATGTGGGATAACTCTTCATGGATACTTACTTAAATTTAATCCATCATGGATCAATAGCCCAAACCATATATATATATATATATATATATATATATATATATATATATATATATATATATATATATCATTGATTTACATAATTAGTCCCAGTTAATTTAATTAGTCTCTTTTGATCACTAAATTAATTCCAAATTAATTCTTGATAATTACTAATTAAATAACATGATTTCATATTAATATATTATACTTGTAATATATTAATAAATCATAAATAACCTCTCTCTCAAATGTCCATCCTATTAGATTGTTCTAGTGAAGGCAACCCAAAAGGACCATGCTACTCTTGGGTCAAGTACATACCAATTATAGTTATGGGCTTAGACACCTAATCCAATAGTCTCCCACTTGGATATGTCTAATAACTATAACTTCAAGTATGACTCAAAAACCGACTAGGAATCGTAGCTCTTAGAAGTTGTTGTTGAAGTCTGATGCGTCCTTTAGATAAGGAATCATATAATCCTCTGTTCTTCAAGATATTAGCTAGACAAATACATGGAACAATGTCATACTTATTGTCCAATATTTCGTTTCTCAATTTCTGATTTTTTTGACATAAAACTTAATTATACACATCAATTGAGTCCTGACCGGGCTCGGCACATAAGTCAAGATGAAATCATTGAGGGGCCCAAGATATCGCTTTTAATCCTCCAAGATTTAAAAGGAATAGATAAACCTCAACATTATATGCTTGTACTAAAGATGCGTTAACTCATACACAACAATGCATTTTATAACACCAAGTTACTGATGTGTTTTCATCGTATCAATGTACAACCAACTCATAGTCAACAACTCATATATCTCGGTTTGAAGACTTATATGATATTATCATCTCACAATCACTCGTGATAAATTCCATGAAATGATTCATGTGAGCGTGGGTTTAATCCATTAATCAGACCTTATGAGCACTCACGAATGTTGTAGCAATCTTTTGCTATGTCTAAACAATTCAGACAATCTACAAGCCAAATTCATCACATTCTTGCCTCAATACCTACTTCCAAATTATGATCGACTGTGGATAGTTTGAATAATCTTATTATTCTGGAAATCAAAACATGCAAGATGAAACAATTGTAATCAATTGACACAAGATAGTAACATTACTTATAAATAA